TTTTTTTTTTTTTGTTCCCCTCTTTCCTCTTCTCTTACTTTACTTCAACTTCAACTTTTGCAAACCCTAACATCTTAACCAATCTATTCATCTCAACCAATTTCTACCTTGTTGGGTTCTTCATCATCATCATCAAACAACAAAACCTGCAAAAAAACAAAACTTTTTTAAAAATTTTTTTGCCCCTAGATTCTTTCGAATTCAAGCATGCTGGGTTCAATAAAACCTAGCAACACCCTTTCTTTCTCCTTCCTCTTCCTTGCCTTGCCTTCTTCATTTTTATTGATCAATTTTTCATTATCATCAAACAATAAAACCAAAAAAAAAAATTTTTTTAATTTTTTGCCCTTGGGTGCCAAGGAACCCAGGACTTGCCAAGGGACCTAACGCCTGGATTCAAAGGAACTCGCGTGGCGTGCTGGGTTCCAAAGGAAAAGAGAAGGGGAAAGAGAAAGGGAAAAGAAAAAAAAGAGGAATTTTTTAAGTTTTATTTTTCATATTAATATTTGTTTATATTATTATTTTTTTCATGTCATCATTTTTTTGTCATATTGTCTTCTACGTGTATTAAAATTTAACATGTTATCTTGCAGTCGTGAAGTGACAAGCCATGTCACAGGATTTTTCACGAAATGACTAAATTGGGGTTAAAATTGTAAACAGTATGGACTAAATAAGAGATTTTTTAAGTTTAGAGATCAAATCAGGGGTTTGCACAATAATTTAAGGACTAAAATGAGATTTTAACCAATATATAATAAGAAATAATTTTTTTCATCTCTTGATCTACATACATCACTAAAATTATGCAACTTGAATCTAAAATCCTTTTTTTTTATTAAAAATTATTATTAAAATGTATAGGTAATTGGCAAAGGAAGGGAAAATTGTTTTACCACGCGATGATTCTAAAATGACCAATCTTATGAGCTGCAGTTACACACCTGCACTAATCACTTAATCTGTAAGGCTCGGTACCAATATAGCTACTGCATATAATAAAAGGAAATGATTGGTGAGCTCTTCTATTCTATGTGAGATTGTTGACATAAAATTGTAAGTGAACGCCATACCTAAATCATTTCCCCTGACGCAAATATCCTGATATTTCTTCTTTCTTAAAAATAGTTGTTTTAACTTCAAATAACTTTTATTTGAAGAAGAGTTGCTTCCATTTCGAAGATTAAAGAATTGAAGTGAATATTAGCACGCTCTAAAATTGCTGTCC